TTCCTGCTGTCATTTACACTGTCCTTTGATTAATAACACTATACAACAGCACTATACTAGCAAGCCACAATTGACTGGCTATCTAAATATGTGAACACCTTCTTTCTCCAGTAAGGAGGAAGAGGAAGGAAGCATTTTTGTGAAGTTCCATGTGCCTGGTGGCCAGGTGCAGACACAGAGTTCTGAACAGAGATTCTTTGGCAATGTAACCTCCATCTGCTTGGCAGAGAACTTGGCTTCTCAGAGGACAAGAGAGAACACTGCCTGGAGACTGGAAATGCACACAACCTCACAGGAATATTTTGTGGGGAGGAAATGGGGATAGAAGGATGAGAAGTCTTTCCATAAGGGATTCTGGGTTGATCCAAGACTCAACTTTTGTGGCCCAAAGAGCCTGTATTTTCTTCCAGATAAGAGTACCCTAGAATGCTGTACAGCAGTGGACACCAACCAGTCGATTGGGATTGACCCATCAATCCTGGAGCCTCCTGCAGTTGATCTTGGGCTGGTGGGCTGAGCATGCGTGTGCAACTGTGCACCCCCCACCCCAGCCCAGCAGGTCAGTTGGTGGGGGGAGGGAAGGGGCAGGAGCTAGATGTAGGCCCCCACGATGAGGGACAGAGTGCAGAAGCAGCCCAGTAAGTGGGGCCACAGCCAGGCAGGTGGTGGGAGGATTAAGCTTGGGCATCTCATCCAGCAGCAGGAGGGGTGGCTCCCGCTGCTGTGTGCACTCCAGTGGAGGCCCCAGGGAATTCTGGTGCATCCAGCCACTCCTAGGCCAGCTGCAGTGGGGCTTGGAGTGCAAAGCCCAGCCTGCAGTGGGAGCCACCTCTTCCGCGCACAGATCAGGGGGAGCAGCAGCGGTGAGGGAGGGAGTGGGGCTGAAGCAGGCCCTGCACAGCTGGGGGGGGTAGGATGGGGGGGGGCATGCACCCTAGGGCTGCGTGGAGGCGGTGCTGGGAGCGAGGCCATAAGGGGCTGCAGCCATCTGAAAATTCACCACAGTCCTTCCCACCCTCTCCCAGTGCCACCACCACCCAGCCCAACCACAGCTCCCAGCCTCCGCTGGGAACAGCCTGGCGCTGACTCCCAGCCCCTTCCCCCTCCCTGCCCCCAAGAGCATGGGGGCTGCGTGCCCCAGATTTGTGCAGAGGAAGGCAGGCTGCCGCTGCACACTGGGAGGCAGCGCTGGGCTGTTCCTGGCAGAGGCTGGCAGCTGCAGTCACGCCAGGTGATGGCAGCGCTGGGAGAGGGTTGGTGGGGGCTGCAGTGAATTTTCAGGTGGCTGCAGCCTCCCATAGCCCCACTCCTAGCACTGCCTCCTCTGGGAACAGCCTGGCCTCAGCCGGAAGCTGCATCCTGGCCTGGCCTGCCCTGCAGAATTCTGGGGGCGTGCCCCCCCCCCCCCAATGCCCTGCTGGGGTGCGTGCCCGCCACCCCCGGATAAGCTGCTTGTGGCTCTGTCCTACCCCACCCCGGCTATGACCCGAGCAAGATGACCCCAACACGATGGACATCAAGACTTTTTTGAAGATCGCCAGAGTGGGCGACTGTACCACTTCAGGGGGGAGCCTGTTCCAAACTCTCAGTACTCAACTAGTAAAGACATTTTTCTTTATGTCCAGTCTGAAATAATCTTCAATCACCTTGTGCCCATTATTTCTAGTCCTCCCCTGGGGGGCCTTGGTGAATAGTGGCTCCCCCAGGCCCTGAAGTACTCCCCCGATATACTCGTAGGCTGCCACCAAGTCCCTGCCAAGTCTTCACTTCTTCAGGCTGAACAGTCCCAAGTCTTTCAGCTTCTCTTCATATGACCTTGACTCTAGGCCTCTAATCATGCGCATGGCCCTCCTTTGGAGTCTCTCAAGCTTCTCCACATTCTTCCTAAAGTGTGGCACCCAGAACTGGATGCAGTACTCCAGTTGTGGTCTCACCAAGGCCAAGTAGAGCGTGAGGACGACATCTTTAGCCTTGCTCGAGATGCCTTGGTAGATGCATGCCAGTGTTCAGTTAGTTGTGCCAGCTATGGCATCACACTGGTGGCTCTTGTTCATTTTGTTGTCTATCATGACACCCACATCTCATTCAGCTATGGTGCTGGCTAGTGTAGCACTACCAAGCCTGTAAGCATATTGTGGATTATTTCTCCCCAGATGGAGCACTTTGCATTTCTCTGCATTAAATGACATCAGGTTGAGGTCTGCCCACTTTGCAAGCCTGTCCAGGTCGGCCTGTAGTACCAGCCTGTCCTGGAGTGTGACCACGCTCTCCCATAGTTTGGTGCCGTCGGCAAACTTTGCCAATTTGCATTTAATACCTGAATCCAAATTGTTGATAAACATGTTGAATAACACTGGTCCAAGTACTGAGCCCTGAGGAATGCCACTGTAGGAATATAACACAGTGCTGCTGGGGTTCTAGTGCTGCAGGTCCTGCAGGCCATGTTTGACATCTGAGGTAGATCAAACAACTCCAATGACATTGGGCTTTGAATCAGGGTACACAGAGTCCCCGAAAGAGATGGTCTCCTCAAAACAAGGTGAGGGCACTTCTATGGGCTAGTGAGTGAGGCTTCCCTAGTCTGTATCTGCTACACAAGTCAAATAAAAGACGTTAGCTTTTAAAGCAGTCTACTGCATTTCACAAGCATTATTATTGCTTTAAAAATATAGACGTAACTGTAATCTCCGATTTAGAGAAAGGCAAAGTGAAGTTCCTCCCACATGTTTCTGGCTTTCATATTTCAGTCAGCATGCTGACAAGCTCCCACAACGCAGTCAATGCAGTTTCATCCATCTAGCTGCCTATTTTGCATGATCAGTAGGTTTCACCTTGCACTGAATTTTTTGTTCTTTGTGCTCTGAAATAGATCACCTCAATGCCACTTCTACCTTTATGTTCTGTCTATTTTGAACTTTTTGAATTGTAATAAACTGTTCATCTTTTTATGCAGAACTGACTGTAGCAGTTTGGGTGGGCCTGAAGAACAATTTTTTACCTTCTTGCCTTTTCCTTCCCAAATACAACTCCTCTCCTTCACAGCTACCATACACAAGATTTGCCTGAGAATCTGGAGAGGGCTAATGAAATTTCTTCGATACATCACTACTAATGGAACATACTCAGTTCATACACACAGTGTACATGTTAGCATCTGGGGGATTGTTAGGTTATTTTTCCCTGCATACTTCATGCTGGAGGACTAGAGTCCAGTTGCTTGTACTAGCGTAGGTGTATACAGAGTCCATTGGTTAAAACAGATTTGTAAGAGAGACAAGCATGCATGGCATCATAGACACCCCCCCCAAGCCACTGAGGATAGGGCTGGCATTCTGGTGGTATTTAGCATGTACATAGTATTTAATAAATAGTGCTTAGATAGTACTTGTGCACACCTGTATAGTATGAAAATAGCATTTGCTCCATATTATAGTCAGCCTTTTTGGTTTGTTTCCCTAAATTATTTGAGCAAAAAACGCAAGGAGTGTCTATAGAGGGTTGCTGCCTCAGCATTTTCAACCAGGCTTTTGCTGCCAGAACATCTCTCAGCAACCCCAGTAACAAAGAGAGTCTTTTAAACTGTCTGGCCTTTTCTCCTTGGCTTAGTACACCCCAGTAATATACAGTCTTTTAACAAATGAAGCAAATTAACATGAAAAACTTTGCTGTCCTGGATGATGGGAGGGGTCCCCTGCAGCCCCAGTCTTCCCACAGCAGGTTTGCCTTCCTCGTAACCCAGCAGTCTCCTATTCTGGTGCTTCTCCTCTGCACTTCTCTAGAGTTTTGCTTGTCAGGATTTTGTACCCTCAGTGAGCTACTCCCTCATTAGCCTTCACACAGATGCAGACCTTCAGCTACACTGGCTGCTTCCCTTTAAGGAGACAGGCCATTTTGCTACATGGTCATTTGTTAGAGGTGGGATCAAAATGATAGGCAGTGGAAGGCCAGGGCTAATGGGGCTTAGGCCCTGCCAAACATGGGGCAGTAGTGGCAGCACAGAGGGCCACGAGGCAGCCTGGGCGTGAGCTCTGGGTAGCTGCAGCAGACGCAGGTTGGGGGGGGGGGAGCGGCATGCATACGCACACAGACAGACAGCTGCAGCCTGCACACAGCCAGGATCGCGGACTGGCAGCATGTGGAGCGCTGCCCACCACAGCAGACAAGTCTGTGAAGAGGAAAGAGCATGGGGGAGGGAGGAGGCAAATTGAGGCCCCCACAGTGACAGAGGGCAGGTTGTGGGACAGTGACAGTGTGGGTGGCTCATGCAGGGGTGTGGGGGGGCTCCTGCCGCTGCGCACACCCAGGGGAGGCCTGGGGGGCATGTGCCCCCCAGATTTGCGCGCAGGGTAGAGGCAGGCAGCCACTATGGGCTGGGGCTCTGCACCCCACTGCTGCTGTCTCGGGAGCTGTGCGCAACACTGTATGTCTGCTGCCACCACCACGTGGACAGGGGACGTGGCGCAGCCTGGCAGTGGCAAACAAATGACCTTGCACGTGGCTCCTGAGGCAATGGGGTGCAGAGCTCCAGCCCACAGTGGCAGCCCGCCTTCACCCCGTGCACAAATCCAGTGGGCACATACCCCACCAGGGTGTGCACAGTGGCAGGAGGCTCCCATGTGCCTGCACAAGCCACTCACACTCTGACAGTCCTGGAACCTGCCCTGTGGCCTCATTCACCCCAGCCCCTGCCCCATGCCTTCCCTCACTGTGGGGGCCTCAATCTGCACCCCCCACCACATGCCCCTTCCTCTCTACAAACTTACCAGCCCCCTGAAATAATATTTTCTCCCTTTGCCTATGATCAAAATGGAACTGGGCAGGCCAACCTTCTCAGCCCTGTGTTTGTTTTACTGGGCTATGATGCATTTTGCCCAATTTAGCAAGCTCTTCTATGACCAGAAGTCACACTGGCTGAGTACAGGAACTAAATTAGTGGCAAGCTGCTAGCTAGATAGGATCTAATCACATCCCTAGTACTGTACCATCAGTATCTGTAACCCAGACAACTAAACTAACTTGGGGTCTTCCAAATCACTGAGGGATCTGCAGTCCCTGTTTTCAGACCCCAATGACTAGTCTTAGGTGGGAAGGGCATGAATGCTTTATGATTATGAGGTGGGGAGGAAAGAAAAAGACAAGTTACAACCTTCAGCAATGAGTCTGCACTGTTGTATATCTGTTCAGAGCTAGTGTCACCAGGGCCATCCAGTTGGGGTGGGGGGGGCGCGGTGTTGGCAATGGAGGCGACTGCCCCAGGCCCTGCACTTTGGGAGGCCCCACGGACAGTGCCATAAAGGCTCTGCCGCAGTCGCCGGCTCTGCACTCCAGACACTTGCTACCCCCAGGCCCTGCACGGGCTGATATGCCTGGACCCTGCACACCCCTAGGGATGGCTCTGACTGTCACAATGGCTAGAGACTCTGGGACCTGACTGCCACAGATCCCAATGGCTGGATTTGCTTCTGTGTAACAGCTATCAAATCTTTCTGAAGCTCTATCAAGATGTGTGTTCAACTATGGGTATCACTACAGACTATTTCATACCAAGTGGGAATGGGTAACGGCTACTGTTATATAATCCCCTGTACTGAGCATCTCATTCAAGAACTTATGGGCGTTTTACTGCTAAAACACAAGCTCATTTGTGGATAGTTTCTCTCATCCTTACTCAAATGTCATTTGCATGACTGCAGCAAAATCTACAGGGATGGTTGTGATGAAGTTTCATTGACCCTTACCTGAGTGAGTGGCTCAGGAGCAGGTGGTGGTGGTGGTGGCAGTGGGAAGTCTAATTCAGATTCTAGAGGTGGAGGGGGCAAGACATCCTCAACGGGTCCACTAGTGGTAATACCATGAGTACTTGGTTTATATTCATAAGAAGCAATAGTCTCAAAACCCATTAGAGACTCAGTGGCTTTTTTTTGCTCATGGTCAGAAGTTGTCTTCTGTGCTTGTAACGTTTTCTGTTCAGCTTCATTTATGTCGGCTACCAGATCAGCCATTAAAGCATCCAGGTCTTTGTCTTCCAGTGTACTTAGTGATTCTGTTAAGAAAACAGATTTTTAGGGTGAATGAAATTAAAAACAGTCTGTGCTTAGTTCAGTTAAATCTGAATTGCAGAAGTGGATGTGAACTATAACGGATAAAGGAATCATTTTAAAAAAAGCGCACGTTCATTTGGTCTCTGGGAACAAAGTGTGTTTTGCAGATAATTACTAACCTACTGACACTCATAAATAGAATGTGAGGGAACTTGTTTTCAAAAAGTGTTGTAAGAATTTCTCAGGTAGCAAAAGATTTCCTTACTCTTGGTCCCATGAGCTTAATCTTCTAGGATCAGCACCAACACTATCCTGTTGGGTGATGGGTAGTTTCCTGACAACTTCAGGCACATCTGGATGCCACCAGTTCCCTGGACACATGTCAGATGGGCTTTCACCCTGAATATAGCACAGAGATTCCACCTATGACTCAGATTCATAGATGTTAGGGTCGGAAGGGACCTCAATAGATCATCGAGTCCAACCCCCTGCATATGCAGGAAAGAGTTCTGGGTCTAGATGACCCCAGCTAGATGCTTATCTAACCTCCTCTTGAAGACCCCCAGGGTAGGGGAGAGCACCACCTCCCTTGGGAGCCCATTCCAGACCTTGGCCACTCGAACTGTGAAGAAGTTCCTCCTAATGTCCAGTCTAAATCTGCTCTCTGCTAGCTTGTGGCCATTATTTCTTGTAACCCCCCATTGACCTTGGTCAATGATCTTTGCCAGGAGATCAACAAGGGAAATTGTGCTCTGCAGATCTTAGTCCAACTTTCAGCGGTCTTTGATACAGTTGACCATGAGGCACTGATAAATTGTTTGCATGAGCTGGTGGGTGTTCTCAGAACAGCTCTAAACTGGCTCCACTCCTTCCTAGCAGAGAAGTGCCAGGGGGCGGTAAGGGGCAAGTGCTCATAACCCCCTCAGCACCTTTCCTATGGGATCTCCCAGGGCTCCATCTTGTCACCTCTCCTGTTCAATATATCTAGGAGGCCGTTGGGGGAGACTGCGTGGAGATTTGGAGTGAGGTGCCATCAGTAGGCTAATGACACCCAGCTCTACCTCTCCTTCTCTTCTGAAGATATATTTCTCCAACTATTCTGTTGGTCTAATAAAAGATATCAGATTGACCCAAAGAACCTTATTTGCCTATGTCCTTAGACCAACATGGCTACAACCAAACCCCTTAGCACACACAAGTGATACAAGTTTTGCTTTCAACAGTTTGAGGGGCACTTTCACAGAAACCCCTGCACTTATCTCCTTGAAACTTGGCAGGCTTCATGCCCTCAGAAGGGTCTGCCATCCCTTCATTGAACACCTTCAAGATCAAACTGGATGCTCATCTTGCTGGGATCCTATGAACCCAGCTGACTTCCTGCCCTTTCGGCAGGGGGCTGGACTCGATGATCTTCCGAGGTCCCTTCCAGCCCTAATGTCTATGAAATCTATGACCATAGCACCACAGTCTCAGTCCTTTCCTGTGACTGGCTGCAGCTGAAAACTGGGTGCAGGTGAACCGCTTAAAACCGAATCCAGACGGAGGTGACAGTGGTGGACAGACCACATGACTGGGCAGAGGGCATCTATCATTAATGGGGTTCAGTCTCTCCTTGTCACTCAGGTTTGCAGCCTGCAGGAGCTCTTAAATTGTCTGCTGTACCTGGATCTTCAAGTGGCAGCAGTGGCTGGGAGAGTTTTTCACCAACTCCATCTGGTAAGGAGTCTATGACTCTTTCACATTCAGATTTGACCACCATGCCTTTGTAATCTTCAGGCTAGATTATTGAAATGCACTTATGTACAGCTGACCTTGAAGATGCAGCTGGTGTAGAAGGTGGCAGCCCACCTTCTAACAGGGATGGGTCACCAACAACACATAACTCTAGTGCTTCGAAGTCTGCACTGGCTCCCAATGGCTTTCCAGGCACAATACAAGGTTCTGGTCTTGACCTACAAGACCCTAAACAGTCTGGGCCATATGTATCTAAGGGATTCCCTTCTCTCTTATGCCCTATTGCAGTCAAAAACATCAGCTGAGAGCAACCTCCTACAAGTACCAGCAGTATGCCAAGGTAGGCAAGGTTCTTTAGGTAAATGTGATAGCTTTTATTAGACCAACTGAGTAGTTGGAAAAAAGTTCTTTGCGAGCTTTTGGGCACAATCACTCTTCTTCAGGCATAGGGAGTCTCTGCTGTTCTAGAACTCCAAGGAATGAAATAACACTGCTACAACTAAAAACCCCAGCAGTATGCCAAGCCCTCTTGACAAAAAACACATGGAAGGTGGTTCTCCACAGTTACTCTTCAGCCCTGGAACTTCCTCCTTCTTGACGCTCCCCAGAGCCTGAGCCTGGACTTCTTTCAGAAGTGCTGTAAAAGCTTTCTATTTGGGCAGGTATTCTCCAAACAATGTAATGTTCTTTAGGGGGTCTCTGTTTTATCTTAATGTTCTAGTTCCCTTTTACGCTGTTTTTGTCCCCTTGTCACTCTCTTATTTTAAGTTATTTTGTTTTCTTCTTATAAGCTGTCCTGAGCCTTTGCTGGGAACGTCATCATACATGTTGAATAAATATATAGATAAATAAATAAATCTGTCCCTCATCCAGGGAAGAACCTATGCACATGATTACATACAGGAATGTGAGAAGTTCCATTGATTCCCACAGATTACTGGATCTGGGACAGTGCTCACTACTTAAAGAATTGAACCCTAAATAATGAACAACTTACTGAAGTTAGTGCAATTTCACAATCAATTTGAATGAGATAAAAATCAAGCTAATGTGTCTTTAAGATATAAGAAAATAGGATCTGAAAGGTCAAGTTCCAAGATACTATATCAGTCACTGAGTGGCACACAGCAGTATCTTACCACGTGCAAATATGTAAGACTGAGGACTTTTTCAGTGGCCACAAACAAGTGTTCATTTCTACCAATAAGAATTCAGAGTAATTTTTACTGGTAGAAAAACAGCCTGGAGTGTGCATGCATTCCAGCCCCCTGGCAGAAAAGCTACACAGGCATGCTCTCCAGCCAAGGGAAACTAGAGAGCTGCTCCCTGAGCCACCCCTACCCTAAGAGGAGCCCATTACTTGACAGCCTGTCTTTTTCCCCTGCCTGGGAAAGTGGCAGGAAATCAACAGACAGTTCCTCACCTTTTAAATTGCCATGTGTGCAGCTCTTGGTTGCTGGGGGCAGAGCAGACGGAGCAGCAGTGCAATCCCTCCGTCTCCAGACTGGCCCATGAGAGGACTGGAGCAGCAGAGCAATGCACACCCACCTGTTCTCTTGACTGGGCAGTCCCCAGTCTGGGGCCAGACCAGAAGGGAAGCATACAGACATTCATTTTTGCAAGAGAATCTCTCACAAGGGAGAACTTCCAGGCTGACACCTGGAAGATTTTTCTCCCAGTGGGGGAGGGTTTCCCCTGGGAGAAACTGAATGAATGCTTGCATGCTGTAGTTTCTATTGGGAGATGGCAATTAATCTCTTTCCTGAACCAGGGTATAAGTTACTTCTAAACAAGCCCTCTCTGTTTACATGGAAATACTTTGATGCACTGTTCTGGCACACATATTAAACAATATTCCAATCCATGTAGTTTTCAACTTACTTAAATAAAGCTGGTGTCCTACTATTTTAATTATTGTAAAAAAAGATACCCATAAAAGAAAACCATCTACCAGGGCCAAGCGTATATGTCATTTCCTCATCTTGTTTTCCTTTCATGAATTCCATCTGCCAGACTAACCCTGAAGAGCTTAGTTTTTGGTTTCATTAAACATTTACATATGAAAGACATTTGACTATGATTTTCTAAGTGATTTTTGTTGCTTCAATTTTGGGGTTCCCATCTTCAGACATCTTAACAGGTCTGGTTTTCAGAAAGGACTAACCTTCTAAAAAGCTTGCCCTTCTAAAGTGTGTCGAACTGATGCACAAATACATATCACCAGTGATTTTTTTTTTTTTAAATAATAGCCATTTCACTTTTTGTTCCTTAGTTTATTTTTTAAGAACTAAGACAGAGTAATATTAAATACACTTTCTAATTACTTACCATTTAAATCTTTAAAACCAACTGAAAAGTTAAATTCTTTAGTAGATTCTTTGGGGGATGAAAGCTGGAAAGTCTCCACTTCTAAACTCTGTTGAGAGAGAAGAAAAAATGCTGCTGATGGTAGTCTTTAAGTTATTAATGTTTACTTACATACACCGAATCATTCTAACAAGCAGTCCTTTCTCAAGAAAGAGAACCATGTGTAGTATGCCATAGGTCTTATTTATTCTATGATGTTTTATACATATATGTGTGATTCTTTAAAGGGGGCGTTCTAGCATGTGATTTATTCTCTATGATGGTGCATTAGTAGGCTAAGAGAAATGTGCAAAATTAAGTCATAAAAAGATCATTCCTCCCTCTAATTCCCAGCAAGGAAAAGGCTGGCTCTGGCAACACTTTGCCAGAAGTGCCTAAATTCACAAGGGTTAGCAGAAACTAGTGAATTTTCCATGAAAATGAGTTCAATTTTTTTTGCCAGTTCATTTTATATGATTCCCCAAGCAGGAAGTATTCATTTCTTATGAACTTGTGCAAAGCTAAAAAACTGAAGCAGTGAACTCTGAAACTCTTTTCCTTTTATGACCAGGTTACTTATCACCCGGACAAGGGGGGAAGAGATTGATGTTGTATATTTTGACTTTAAAAAAGCCTTCGATCTAGTATCCCATGGTCACCTCTTGGCAACTGGCTAACTGCAGCCTTGACCTCACCATGATCTGCTGGCTGGGGAATTGGCTCCGCGGTAGGACCCAGAGGGTGGTGGTTGATGGAAGCCAAACGTCTTGGTGTGCGGTCACCAGTGGGGTCCATCAAGGCTCTGTCCTAGGGCATATACTGTTTAATATCTTCATCAATGATGTGGACATTGGTGTCAGAAGCGGATTGGCCAAGTTTATGAACGACACCAAACTCTGGGGTAAAGTATCCACACCCGAGGACAGGAGGGTGATTCAGGCAAATCTTGACAGGCTCATGAAATGGGTGGCTGAGAACCTGATGGTGTTCAACACTGAAAAATGCAAGGTTCTCCACCTTGGGGGGAAAAACCTGCAGCATGCTTATAGGCTTGGCAGTGCTACGTTGGTTAGCACTACAGATGAAAGGGACTTGGGGGTCATGATTGACCACAAGATGAACATGACCCTTCAATGTGATGCTGCAGCTAGTAAAGAGAACAAAACGCTGGCTTGCATCCATAGATGCTTCTCAAGCAAATCCTGGGATGTCATTATCCCATTGTACTTGGCCTTGGTGAGGCTGCGGCTGGAGTACTGAGTCCAGTTTTGGGCTCCACAATTCAAAAAGGATGTGGAAAAGCTTGAGAGAGTGCAGAGGAGAGCCACGTGCATGATCAGAGGTCAGGAAAACAGGCCTTATGATGAAAGGCTGAGAGCCATGGGACTCTTCAGCCTAGAAAAGTGCAGGCTCAGGGGTGATCTGATCGCCACCTATAATTTTATTAGGGGTGCTCATCAGGATCTGGGGGAACGTCATCAGCTGTAGGGTGGAGCGCCTGGAAGCAGGTGTCCCTTTACATTGCCAGAGATGGTGTGAGGGTCTGGAGTAAGTTAGAATAAGACGCAAAGAAATTAACTAAAAGGGGGGGAAAATATATTATTGACTGCTTCAAGAATATAGAGAACCACAGGAAACAAGTACAGCTTTAGACAAAGTATGAAAAATTAGAGATGTGAAGTAGGAGATGTAAAAAATACAAGACAAAGTAGTTCTGTCTCAGAAATAAACTTAATAAAATGTCATTTAGTCTCCTCTTTTCAATCATATTCAGAACTGTTAAAAAGTTAGAAAGTCGGACAAGGGACAAAGTGTTATGGTTTTGATAGCAATGATCATCAGATTAAATCAACTTATTTGCTGCTTTCAAGATGTTTCAAGAGGAATTCCTAATTATTGCTCTTGAATTTGGCAAGAAGTAGAGTCCAAGAAACAGGAAAGACTTTATAATTAGATGCTTTAAGGAGGGTGTTTCATACAAAACCCAAGATGACAATGTAAGATATGTTAAATTAAAACAAATGTAATGAAAAAAATGTCTTGGGGTCTAAATTCTCCCTCAACCTTATCAGTTTTGTAGGAAATTTCTTCAGGTCTTAGGTTTATAAAGAGGCTTGTGCTGTAATAGTCTCCTTTAAAATATGTTTCCTGTTATATTTTATATACATATAATTCTAAATGTCACTGGTGTTAAGTTTTGGCATGTGTAATAATGATGTTGAATTACTATGCTAGATACAAATGTGCAACAATTTAGTGAAGAAGATACATTTTTGTTTTCATTTTTCAGAGTTTATGGTCAACACAGCATGCTACAGTTCACTTGCACATGCATGCAAAGTGTTCATGCATGGCTATTAAGATTCAATCTCTGTCTGTTTTCATAGCAGAATGCTTGGACAGGGCTGAGTCTAACAGGACTCTGGATTCACTTTTTTGAAAAGTGCCTATTTCATATGATGTCAGAGCTGTTTCATACTCCCAGCCTAGAATAATGTCATCTTTGTTTTGCAGGCAACAAGGTTTGGATGTCAAATAGGGACAATTTTAGTTTTTTGAAAGTAACTTATCTCCATTTATTCAGTATAATGGAACAATGAGTAGTTGCAGAGAGAAGTTCTCTTCACTTCCGTCCCTTGTAGCCATTCCTCTAACCCAAGTGAAAACAAAATAATTATTTACCTGGGTCAGCATGTCCATTTCCCCAAGTAAATTGCTGAACATCTCATCTATTTCATCGGAAGTTTGCTCCATCTGAAAAGAAACAAGAATGTTATCACTAGCCCATTTAGTAGTGAGCCAAAAAGAAAGATCATGACATATGGAAGACCACAGGCATCCACTCTGTGCCAACAGAGAAGTAACCGAGTGGCTTAAAGTGTGAAAGAGGTTTTTGTGACCAGTGTTGTGACATTGGATACAACTGCTGATAGAGCACCACCGAGGTTATGGAAAGAAAGATTCTGCACAATCAGATACTCTGAAATAGGCCTGGAACCCCAGGAAGACCTTCCCAGAGGGGCTGATATAGACTGGCCAACATGGCAATGCCTGAATCACCCGCACATGCAAACTGGAAGATCAAAAACAAACATGATCAAATGGAGCTACAGTAATGACATTAATATATGCAAGTGTGGTGAAGTACAGACTATGGAGCACCTGCTAATTTGCCAACTCCTTGGTGAGACCTGTACAAAGGAGGACCTCACTGGAGTAATGGAAAGAGCCGCTGCTTGTACACAATTCTGGAAAAACACCTAGCTTATGAGAGGACACAAAAAGAAGAACTAGCCCATCTCAAAATTAGCTAGCCAATTCTGTAAAGGCAGACACAAAGCAACATCATGTCTTACAATGTTTTTTTCCACTGATTTCAAAAGAAACAGTTTTGGATTTAAGACAGCTTGGGAAATAAGGCTACACATGATTTGGAAATTGCATGTAGCAAATTAGGACCTGGATCTTGCATGTTCCTACACACACTGCTGGAATTCAGTAGATTTAGTAATCTCAGTGATCACTGTATAATCAATATTTGATTAGAAGTCATCAGCTAATAAAAGATGTTTGCATCTTAAATCTCAGTGAGACCCGACTGGTGACAGAGGGAAGGAAAACTACAAAAGTGTTAAACTACAACTATCCAGTGTAAATATTTCTTTGGCTTAAACCACTCTACGTTCCTGGTTTTATCTGGGCAGTTATTTAATCCAACAGCTAAATATGCTTCGATATAATTTTATTTGGCTTGATATTCTCCCTATATTATACCAAAAGCTGCTTTATCTGCATTGCTTTTGGTCTTACACTGTTACCCTGAGTACGTGTTGTAGACCGTCAAAGACAGGTAAAAATGCCTACTGACCTCTAAGTGGCAGGAGTTGGACAAAAGGTGTCTGACCAAGAAAACAGTGCAATTTAGTGGTCAACACATTCTCACCAGGTGCTAGGTTCTGCAAAAAGCTAAGAACTCTGGTACTGATCTTTCAAAGCAATTAAACAAGGCTTCAACTTTAGTCATGTGAACCGTTCCACTGACTTCACGAGGACTACTTTTGTGTTTTAGTGTTTTGCAGGACTGGGCCAAACTTTTAAGCTGATTCAGACATCTGTATGAGCCCTTAGGGCACTTTTATACATGCTCCAAGAGTGTGGGGGAGGGGTGGAAAGGGGGTGGCACTTTAATTAGAATGGCTCCAAGAGCTGCTCTAATTAAAGCACTGCAGCATCTTATGTATCAGCATCCCAGTGCTTCAAAACAGAGACAGGGGCACATGAACTAAAGGTCATTTGCCAAGCTTTAGTTCAAGTGACCCCGCCACCATTTTGAAGCATGAGAACACTGATACACGAGATGCATGAGGCTGCTGGAGCACGGTAATTACCATGCTCCCGCAGACTCGATTAATCAACTTAGGTGTGTGCCTAAGTAATTACAGTGCATTGGAGAGCCTCTACACTCATGTATAGGCACCCTTAAAGACTAACTCATTCAGTCTGCTTCATCAGATGCTACAAATGGCCTTGCAAAAAACTAGCAGTCGTAACTACTAAGGCACTAGTGGTCATATTACCATTCCACAAGTAAATAATAAATGCCATTAACTACATAGTCACTGCCTTTCCCTGTGAATTACCATAAATTACTAAACTGTACTAAAATTAGTTGAACCTGGGATTTTCAAACGAGCCTAAGGGAGTTAGTTGCATCCTCCTCCCAAAAAACAAAACCCAAAATAGCTATCAAAACACCCCCCCATTAAATCCCTAAACCTCTATGGGTTTCTCTGACAATCCAAGCTGAAAGCAAATAACTATGGGTGCCTGTACACATGCAGGGAGGCTGCTCCAACTTGCTGTAATTATAGCATGTCAGAGCAGACTCCATTAATCGAGTCTGTTGGAGTCTGGCAATTAACACGCTTCCAGCATCTCATGTATCAGTGTCCCTGGGCTTCAAAAGGATGGGCGCTTCCAGCATCTCATGTATCAGTGTCCCTGGGCTTCAAAATGGTGGGGGTGTGTCGCAGAGCACCCCGGTGCTCTGCTCCTAGAGGGGAGAAACTGCCAGGGAGAGAGAGAGCGCCCTGGCAGGTCATAACGAGGCCAGGGTAACGAGCCCAGCTGCGGGTTGCCGGGGCAGCTAAGGGGAGCCAGCTGCCTGTAGGAGGCGGGGCCTGGCCTTTATAAAGCCAAGGGCTGAGACCAGGCTGGCAGTTCCCTGCCAGCAGCCGGAGAGGCAGGAGCTCCCTCGGCCGAGATGTGGCAAGAGGCCTGACTTGCAAGTACAGCTCACGATAGCCCTGAGAGGATGGGGCACTATGGTTTAGCCAGGAGGCTCTAGTTTATGTTCAGGCTTGCATATTACACCGGAGGCTTGGGTGAGGCTGTAGGGGTTGGAGGAGGCCTCATGGGGACCCCAGAGGTGTGGGGCCCCTGAGCGCAACCAGTAGGTTGCGGGCGGGGAACAGACCCCGGGTTGTATGCGGCGAGCCCCGAAGAGGGGGAGCGCCATATTGGGTGAGGAGCCCAGGACGGGCGCAGCAGACGCCAGCAAGGGC